GCCACTGTGCCCGGCCTGATGTTTGGTTTTGAGGTGCCTGGAAGGGCACTACATTAGTGTGGGGTCTGGGTGTCAAAATTCAACACAGTGGAAGAGGACAGGACCACCCCCATCTCGAGGATGGAACGAGGTATACCACACTCACATAGTCCACGTGCTTTTTCTCAACATAATTACCTTAAATTGCCCATTTCCTGGTTATTTGGTATGTGTGTGCGTGTGTACAAATGAGCAGATGTCTCTGCTGATTGTCTGATCAGCAATCTGTAATTAGACCCCAAGGAACAACCTGCTCATTGCGGTTGGGGCCATTAGCCACTTAAATAATGACATCTGTCCTAATTTTCATTCCTCATCCTGTCCTGGGTCTTATCTCCAAACTGCACTCAAAACAAATGTCTACGTTTTCTAAAATAGACCAATCCAATTTTTAGTAGTTGTAGTCACCATCATGGTGGAGGATTGTAGGGCTGAACAATATCTAATAATTACTGAGTGCCTCCTCTGTGCCTGGAATTGTCTAAAGGTCTTTACAAACAGCGTTAAGTCACTGAGTCCGTGCAAGAGCTCTGTGAGATAGGAAACTATTATTCTTCTCATTTTATAGATACAGAAATTATTTTACTGAGACACTGAGTTCAATTATTCACATCTAGAAGGGAACAGAACTGAAATTACTATTTAAGACTGCTGGTCGTCCATACTATTTACTGTTTTCATTTGGACTGGCTGCTGTGTGTCATTTGGCTAGTGAGGGACACAGGGTCTTATTCTGTCACCCAGGCTCTTCTCAAACTCCCAGCCTCAGTGATCCATCCACCTTGCTCTCCCAAAGTATATGCCCTGAGTATATGCTCAGAATATATTAAAATGTGGAAAAAAGTGTACAAATCTAGTTTTGTATAAAGGGAGCCAAATTAAGATAATAATCTTAAAATAATGGAACATTTATCAAATTCAGTGATTATCAACTGGGAGCAAACCCTGCTACCTCAGGGGACCTTTGGAAATGTGTGGGGTCATTTGGGGTGCTTTTGGCTGTTATGCTGGCCTGTTACACTGGGGGGGGTCGTTCAGGGGGCTCCACGACCTACCATCTGCAAAACAATTTTAGACAATACGGACTCCTTGTCTGGCTCCAAATGTCAGATACTACTGAGAAACACTGATCAAGTGCAATGGTAGGAATTTGATACGATACTGTAAAACTCAAAGGTGGCAAACTCAAATGCCTTTAGGGATTAGTCAGGAAGTGATGATCATGTCCCATTTTAGGGGCATAAAATTCAAATCACAAAAGCATTTCATCAAACAAAAATTAGGTGTCAAATGTGGCCTGTGGATCGCCAGGTTAGAGCCTTTTAATGGGGGTTTTTCTGACTAAAAAACATGTTTACGATATATTAAGAGGAGAAAAAGCTAATAATCTGTATGATTCCCTGTTTTAAAGACATGGTCTCTGTGTATACACATATTCGCATATATGTATACACTTATATTCATGAAAATATTTAGAAAATTTTCTAGAAGGATATGGATAAGATTTGGGGTAATTTTTTTTTGGATACAGTATCTCACTCTGTCACCCAGACTGGAGTGGAGTGGTATGATCACGGCTCACCGCAGCCTCACCTGGACTCAGGTGATCCTCCCACCTCGGCCGTCCGAGTAGCTGGGACTATAGGCATGTGCCAGGCACGGCCAGCTAACTTTTTTGTATATTTTGTAGAGATGGGGCCTTGCTATGTTACCCAGGCTGGTCTTGACCTCCTGGACTCAAACAATCCACCCGCCTCAGCCTCCCAAAGTGCTGGGGTTATAGTTGGGAGCCACTGTGCCTGGCCCAATTTGGGGTGCTTTTCTAAAATGCTTTCCTCATTCATATGTTTAATTCTTTGACCACAAATGTCTACTAGTTGTGTACTTTTGAATAAATAAAGTAGAAGAGGAGCCTTAAAAAATTAAAAGTTTTGAGTGTAGTATTAGAATACAGCCCAGGCGACCTACTGGCCACCCCCCTCGAGGGGAGAATTGTGTCTGTGATTAAGGACAAATGAGATATTCAATATCAACAGTTGACACCATTGCTGCCTTCCCAAACACTCTGGCCTAGCGAGCCCCTTCCACACTTTTCATTTCTACCATACATACGATAAAGCTCTTCTGGTAAAACCCAGCCTTCCTTGTGCAGCTGTCCTGGGAGGGATCCTGAAGAACCCCAGATGACGCTTGAGAAATCAGGATCTGTGCTGAATTTTATCTTAGGGGGTCTTACCCAACATTAGATAAGAGCAGGGCATTTTCAATACAGCTCTGCCCCTTTTTCAATCAAGTCACCAAAACCTTCAAGATCATTGTTTTTTCTAAAAAATCCCTGTTTTGCTTTATTGCAATCATGTCTGTGTTTTCCTTCCAGTGTTTTGGCTCTACACTTTTTATTTTGTGCACAAGTCCTTTTTTTTTTAATTTTTATTATTATTTTTTTTTTTCCTGAGACAGGGTCTTGCTCTGTTACCCAGGCTGGAGTGCAATGGCACTATCTCAGTTCACTGAAGTCTCAACCTCCTGGGCTCAATCGATCCTCCCACCTCAGATTCCTGAGTAGCTGGGACCACAGGAAAAAGCCACCACGCCTAGCTAATTTTTGTATTTTTAGTAGAGACAAGGCTTACTATGTTGCCCAGGCCAGTGAGGAACTCCTAGGCTCAAGTGATCTGCCCACTTCAGCCTCCAGAAGTGCTAGGATTACAGGGGCAAGCCATCCTGCCTGGCCAAGTCACTTTTGGCTGAGCTTTCTTTGTGGAGTTTGCTGATCACTCGGCAATACTGGATTTTCTATCCATTTGTCTAAGGACACTGGGGAGGGGAGAAACAGGTAATTTCCTGGAGTCTTTTCTGGCTTGCTCCTTGGGTCGGTCCCCAGGGTCCCTCCTTCATGTCTCCCTGCAGCCCTCCTTACCAGCAGCTAGTCACGGCTCTCCTACAGAAAGAACCCAGAAGTCCTGCAGCTAACCAGGTGGCATGTGGTGCTTCTTGACACTGCAGGGGTGGGTGCAGGGAGGAAGGGAGAGAGGGCTCCAGCATAGACAGGAAACAGAATTCTCCCGTCTGGAAAACCGCTGCTTTTCACCCCCAACCCACCCCTTTCACATGCTGAAGCTATACCAAAGGAGGAACTCATGTCTGGATTCTGAATCCACTTTTATAAACCAAACTAAACAGAAATCTCTGGGAGTGAAAATGTTAAGTGCACTTTACTCATTAAGGTCCTTTAGGAGAAGTGTCTAGAATGTGTCCTGCAGGAAAGTGGGGACTGAAGCAAGTAAATTGGGCATGAGCCGCTCCCAGTGTTGGACCTCCCTCCAAAGAAAAGTCATTCCCAAAGACTAGTTCCTTGCCACTGCGTTTGAAGGGTGTTGGGTAGGCGGTGCTATTTTCTCTCCTGAGATTTCCACGTGGCAAACTCCTGCAGCCCTGGAGAGGCAGGGAGGGTAAACCCTGAACCCTCCCTCCCCACCACTTCCATTTCTCTCTCTCCCGATTCCTGGTGCAAGTTTTGATCCTAGGAAGCTCCAGCCTGAGAACTACCACAAATAAAAACAAAATTTCCAGGACCTCTTGCATTGTCTTTAGCATTTGGAAACCTTGATTGGGAAAATAAGGCTTAAGGCAGTTAAAGGCTTTCTTGGTTGATTGTTTGTTTGTTTGAGATGGAGTCTCACTCTGTCGCCCAGGCTGGAGTGCAGTGGCGCTATCTCAGCTCACTGCAGCCTCTGCCTCCCAGGTCCAAGTGATTCTCCTGCCTCAGTCTCCCAAGTAGCTGGGATTACAGGTGTCCGCCACCAAGTCTGGCTAATTTTTGTATTTTTAGTAAAGACAGGGTTTCACCATGTTGGTCAGGTTGGTCTCGATCTCCTGACCTCAAGTGATCCGCCCACCCTGGCCCGCCAAAGTGCAGGGATTACAGGCGTGAGTCACTGCGCCCAGCCAAAGGCTTTTTAAGTTTTATGAGGTAGGATGGTGGGTGGGTGTGAGACCCCATCTCAGTGCTCAGTAAATATCATATGAAAGGCTTAGAAATTATTGTGCCTTTGTGTATAGAAAATGCCATATTCAGCATCATGTAGATGGAACTCATAAACTGACTTTTTAAAGAAACATATTTGTGAGGGTATAATAGCATCCACAGCCCAATGAAGCTGTGTGGTATGTGACTGCATGGGATGTGTGCCTGTTTGCATGCATTTAAGATCTGAACTCCTTCGCAGAATCTATGCCAGTGTATTCGCTCAAGGAGGGCTCCTTCACACAGGTGAAGGCTCTCCAGGAGCAGAAAGGAATGGGCCCCTTCACACAGGTGAGGACTCCCGGGGAGCAGAAAGGAATGGTCGAGAGCCTAGGCTTTAGACTTAAAGCTCAAATTCAGGCCTGGCCACTTGCTACCTGTGTGACCTCAGACGTCACCCACCTCTCTGAATCTCAAGTCACTTGTTATAAAAGGTGGATAGTCCTTTCCGGCAGTGATGACACACTCATGAGAACATGCTTCTCACAAAGGATCTCCATCCCTCTCCAGAAGAGGAGAAGAGGAGACACAAGAAGAAACGCCTGGTGCAGAGCCCCAATTCCTACTTCATGGATGTGAAATGGCCAGGATGCTATAAAATCACCACGATCTTCAGCCATGCACAGAGGGTAGTTTTGTGTGTTGGCTGCTCCACTGTCCTCTGCTAGCCTACAGGAGGAAAATCGAGGCTTACAGAAGGATGTTCTTTCAGGAGGAAATAGCACTAAAAGCACTCTGAATCAAGATGAGAGGGCAACCATCTCAACAAGCACATTTTGGATTTAAAAAAAAAAAAGGTGGATAGTTATAGCTGTGGCCGTCATAAGAATAGTTGAGTGAATTGGGTAAGATGTGGGGGCATGCCAGGGGCTCAGCACTGTGGTTGGCAGCAAGTGGCTATTAGATACTAATATTGTTCCTGCCTATTTTACAGGCTTAAAAACTGAAATATTGGGAGAGGAAAGCAGTTGATCCTCAAGTAGCTGAGTTTCTCCGAGGGAAATTTGTTTCAAGAGCCCTGGAGTCCTGAGCAGCTCCTGACCTCTTGCAGATCTCCAGGAGAACCCTGCCAGTGGCACTGCTGAGAGACAAGGTCCCAGGGTGGTTCCTGAAAGTGCCTGAGCCCCAACTTATGAGCAAGGAGCTTGTCATGCTGACAACGTGAGTGGGCCCAGGAAAAGCAGGAGCAGGGTTCCCTCCAGGCTAACTGGCAGAGCTGCCTTCCAAGCACACATGCCACCCTTCCTGGCTGTCCCAGCCTTATCGTCCGGAAAGGCCAAGGGACCTATGCTGGGACGCACACCAACGCCAGATGTCTGCCTCCAGCTGGGACAGGATAGATTTGCAGTTGCAGTCACATCCCTGCAATCTCTGACTTTGCCCCTTTTCCTTTCCCAACAGAGTCATGGAGCTCTGGCACGGCTTAGTGATCGCGGTGGTGTCCTTCTTCCTGCAGGCCTGCCTCCTCGTCATCTTCAACTACCTGCTCAGCAGGCACATGGGTAACCGGCCCAGCGTCCTCTTCCCTCCTAGTCACTCTCAGAGCCTGCAGCAGGACAGGACCCCTTTGGAATGCCCAAATGTCACTCAAAAACCTACCAGAGGACCCTCCAACCAAATCCTTCCCCCCTTTCATCCCCCACCCCCAACTGTAACTGGGTAATCCCCACTCTGACCTCACGTTTTATCCAATGATTTCTGGCTGGAAGTGACCACCCACATCCTTCCACTACCCAGACCTTCCGCCTAGACACAGCTTCCGCAATGCCTATGAGGAAGTGTCCGTGTCACCTGGGTCTAATTAATTTTCTTCATCACTGCCAAGGGACTGAACATGAAGAAATGGCCTTGAATTACAACAGAAGGCAATATGGTTGGACTTAGAGATTAGTTTAAATTCTTGAACTGACTTACAATAGAAGGTAGCGAATCTTGGTCCTGGAAAGGCATTTCAATTAGGGAAAGTAAAATAATACTGCTTTGGTTGTGCTAAGAGGAAGGATCGGGCAAGATGATGTTTTGAGGGTCTTCCTAGTTAAGTCTAGCTTTATTCATTCATTCAACAGATATTTCTTGAGCATCTAAGACACTCTCTGGGCCTAGGCTGTACAATGGGAAACAAAACAAAAGTTCCTACCCTCTGAATCTTTCATTCCACATGACAACAAACAAGATAAACAGTAAAACACGTGTATGCTAGGTTATGGCAAGTGGCAGGGAGGAAAAATGGAGCAAGGAAGTAGACATGGCTTGGTGGATGCCAGGCAGCCCCGAGACGCTAACCTTTGGGTCTAAACTTACAGGCAGTGAGGAGTGAACTCTACCTGCACAGGCCTGAAGGAGGAACATGTTAGGCACACACTAGTACAAGAGCAAAGAGGCAGGGCAGCTGGGGCGGGCAGAGAGAAGCAGGAGAAAGCCAGAGAGGAGGGAGGAGGGAGGCCTCGGAGGCTGGGACTTGGCTTTTTCCAAGCGGGGCGCAGAGCCGCTGGAAGGTTTTGAGCACAGCAGTGCTGAGATTTGAAGGGATCTTTCCGAAAGGTTTGCCATACTGAGGGCGTGTTCAGAAGGTACTGATTTTAGAGCCGATGTGCCCAGCCCAGGCAGCTTCCACTGTTTTTTCATTTTGAGATGAAGTCACACTCTGTCCCCCAGGCTGGAGTGCAGTAGCAGCACAATCTCGGCTCACTGCAACCTCTGCCTCCTAGGTTCAAGTGATTCTCTTGTCTCAGCCTCCAGAGCAGCTGGGATTACAGGTGCACGTCACCACACCCACCCAGCTAATTTTTGTGTTTTTAATAGAAATGGGTTTTCACCATGTTGACCAGGCTGGTCTCAAACTTCTGACCTCAAGTGATCTGTCCACCTTAGCCTCCCAAAGTGCTGGGATTACAGGGGTAAGCTACTGCTCCCCACTCCCCTGCCAGCTTCCACTTTTGACCCCTGCCCTCTCCTCTCTAGCCCACCAGAGTGAAGAGATACTGAAAGCGACCAGGCTCCAGGTCCCCAGGCCCAGCCCTGTCCACCAACATCCACCTGCTGCCAAAGAGATGGAGACTCAGACAGAGATAGACGCCCTAGTGTCTGATCCCTGTTACAGGCGTGAGTAAGGGGTTGTGGGGAGAACTTGTCTCGGGGCTTGCTTTGCTCTGTCTGGACACCCAGGACCTCCCTGCGGCAACCCTGGGGGCCCAAACCTCTAGCCTGAGGATTCCTCCCACCCTCATAAGGACAGGCCTTGCCAGGCTACTTTTTTCAGAAAGGTGTTTTATTCTATTTCATGGGGAAGATCCTGCTGGGTTGGTGTGGGTCTAAGTTCTTTCCTGGGTTTAGTCGTGTGCAAATTATTGCAGGGGCCTTGGGAGATGGCCCCGCTCTTCTCTTTGTATAGCCACGGCATCTTTTCTTCTGCTTGATCGGCTAATGGTGGAGTTAGAATTTCACCTGCCCCTGCCTGCCTCCACCGTGGCTGCTGCAACGTCACGGTTCTCAGCTGGCTCCCGAGCTGGCTCCTCCACAGTCCCCAGAGGGATCCTTCTTCGTACTCCTAAATCTGCATGGGTAACTGAGTGTATAAATGTTGAGTCTTGCCGCTGGTTCAAGTCTATATCACCCTCCGGCAAGTGAGCCAAAAGGTCACTATTCACAGTGGAAATGGCTGCTTTGGCAGCAAGACATCTCCCTGATGGGGGCTCACTCACCAGAGATTGCACTTTTTCCACTGGTTTATCTCTTGATGGGTTTCAATTTGCTCTGTCCAGATTTTATCTTTTCGGTTGAGGCATAGCCTCAGTGCCTGTCTGTGGGGACCCCAGGGAGCCGCTCACATGCATGCAGTGTTTCAGCAGAAAGGAGAGGCACTGGCCTTACCCTAACCCCTGGCCCCAAAGCTTCACCAGAGCCTGGCTAGAGTCAGGGATTGTTTAGCTGACAGGGACCTCAGAGGCCATTGCTCAACCCTCTTGTCTTGCGAGGGATGAAAACCAGGACACAAAAAAAGATGTGATCGGCCTAGATTTAGTGACAGCTTTGGACTAGGTGTGACTTCTGAGGCCAGAGCTGTATGCGTTGGGCCACATTGTCCCAGCGTGTCCCTCCTGACTTTTCTTTTTGGAAGACAGCCCTTTCCAAGCACAGTCAACCTAGTATATTTTTTAAAATTTGTTTTGGATGGAGTTGAATGAAGCAGCAGTGCCTGGACTCCTGGACGTGTCCATGCCTATTTTTGGAGACTTTCTCTCCCCCGACTCTTTCCCTATTCTCTTTCTCCTTCTTACTCTTTTGGGGCATCTGTATCTCTCTTCCCTATCCCCCTTTGCGTTGCTGGCTCTGCCTCTGTCTTTAACTGATAATAAGACAATTCTCCCTTCCATTGTCTCTATTCTTTCTTAACACCCTCTGGCTTGCTTTGGAAGAGAAACCATGTCTATTTCTCCCCAGATGACAGCGACACATCCTCAGACAGCTCAGGTGGTTCCTGCAGTTCACCTCCCGTCTGCCAGGTAATGGATGTGCCTAGGGATCACAGACCAACATATGCAGTCTGAGGGTTACTGCTGTAAAACGCTGAGAACGCAGGTTACCCCAGCTATGGAGTGGGAGCCAAAAAGGAGGCCTTCTTGAGTCGTTACAGCATCCTTAGGTGAGGGGTCAGGCCTCCACCCACAACCATATCAGCCAAACAAAGCGGGTCTGAACAGGCTATGAAAATGAAAGTGCTAATGGGAAACCTTCTTCTCCCCAAACCCCAGTCACTGGCTAAAGTCTGCTCTGAGTCCTGACCTCACTTGAATTGAGTCTCAGCATCTTATCTTCCTGTTGCCTCCACCTGCTCGTCTGTAAGCCCATTCCTTGTAGACAGGTGGAACAAAGTCACTGGTAATCTTCCTCATTGCCCTGGACTGCTCTCAGACACAACTGCTTGGACCCAGATCCTTTTACACCAAGCTGTGGGCAAACCGCTTTGAGTGAGAGTTCAGTCCTGGGGTCTTATTTCCTCCAAACGTGGTAGGGATATTGACCCACATGTCTCTGCTTTTCTGCTAAGGCCACCGACCATGTGGATTACACACAAGTCATCTTTTCAGCCCCTGGAGAACTAAAAGATGACTCTGCCCTGGACTATGAGAACATAAAGGAAGTCACAGATTATGTCAATGTCAATCCAAAAAGCCACAAGCCCAATTTCTGGAATTTTGTCAACCCTGCTCTGTCTGAGCCAGTGGAATACAATCAAGTGGCCATGTGAATTCTGGATGTTTTTAATGGGGTCCAGTTCTCTATGGATTCTTACATTTAATTTGTAGAGGAATGCCATTTTTCCCCCTTAAACAAAGCATGGGGCTCCCAAGGCTATGGAGACAGGCCAAAAATAATGTGGAGAAGAAAACTGACAATCCACAGAAGTCCGCAGCACCCGTGGACTCCCGTTCTGTACCCAATAAAGGCTGTTCATTCCTCAAGAACCCAAAACAAGCCTTAGGTAGGAAAACAGGCCTATGCTCCGGCAAGAAAGATTCAGATCAGATGGATGTTAGGAAGAACTTTCAGTTAAAATATGAGAACCATGGAGTCCATCTGCAGAGATAGGGGTGAAGTCTCTCCCCAGGGAAAATTTTAAAAAGTTTAATCAGCTGTGGTAGAGTTCTATTTGGCAAACTCATGGCTAAATGACTTACCTTTGAGCTCTTTAATTATTGGCAAGAAACAACTTCTTTAAAAGTTTTAAATAAAATAGCAACTACCACCAGTTCCTCTTTTCCTGCTGCCTAACGCTGCAGCTGTCCTTGTTTTCAGCGATGTATTTTGCTGAGTAATCGTCCTCTGCCCTCAGAACTTTAGACAGTGTATTTACAAAGCCCACCATCAATCAACCTTTGAATTTTCTGTTTCTTATAAGCCAAAGACGACAAATGGAATTCTGGTAAATAACAACCAGCATCATAATCTCTTATTCCAAGAAAAATCTCCCAAAACTCAATATAATAAAATTCAAGATTCCTTCCTGTGTTGGGTTTTTTTTTTTTTAAAGCAATTAGGAATACAGGGACACTTTCTAACTCAATTATATCTCAAATCAGGAGATTACATAATATTTAACTGTAAGCTCCTAGACACTATCCTATTAAGTTGGAAACAAAGTAGGAATTTCCACAAGCCTGCCATTTCCTTTGTTATGTAACATTGTTCTAGAAGTTTTAACCAGTGTGATAAAACAGTTAACAAAAATATGAACTGTATAAAAGTTAGAGCCAGGCACGCTGGAGCTTGCCTGTAATCTCAGCACTTTGGGAGGCTGAAGCAGGTGGATCACCTGAGGTCAGGAGATTGAGACCAGCCTGGCCAACATGGTGAAACCCTGTCTCTACTAAAAATACAAAAATTAGCTGGGCTTGCTGGCGGGCACCTGTAATCCCAGCTACTCCAGAGGCTGAGGCAGGAGAATCACTTGAACCCAGGAGGCAGAGGCTACAGTGAGCCGAGATCACGGCACTGCACTCCAGCCTGGGTGACAGAGCAAGACTCTGTCTCAAAAAATACATATGTATTAGAAATGAGGAAAAATTGTCATCCTTTGCAGATATCCTAGCCCTAGAAAACCACACAGAATTAAAATGCTTTAAAATTGATAACACACAATAACCAGTAACTAGAGAAATATTTTTTTCCAACAGCTAATTAAGACACGAAGTGAAAAGAAATTTTGCTCATAGTAGCTAAACAGACATGCCCCAAAACCTGAAACCCTAGGGTTACTCCTAGCCAAATTCAAATCCCAGATTAGTGGCATTCAGGTCTTAGACACCTGAGATCTATTATTCACTGTGCTCCATCTGCTGGCTGCGGATGACCTTCCCAGCCCTGGCACTGAGAGCAGGAGACAGGCTTTCCTTCTCCTGAGTTCTTCCCCGGGATGATCTAAGGGGATGATTCCGGTTTGGGTTTCTGGGGTTGGAAAGTGTTGCTGGTCTGTTTGTCCCTTCACCTTTAGCTACCACGGTCGTCCCTCTCCTTACAAAGCTTTTCTTAATGAGTTACAGGAGAGTCTACTGGTTGGACAGGCAGAACAAGGAATAAATACCGACAATAATATCGGCAACATTGTCCTATCAAGAAGTGAAACTCTGCTTCTTATTGATTTCTTCTATTTATTTATTTATGCAGACAGGGTCTCACTCTGTCACTCAAGCAGGAACATGATCAATAACCTCAAATTCCTGGGCTCAAGTGATCCTCCTGCCAAAGCCTCTCAAGTAGCTGGGACTACAGGTGCATGCCATGATGCCCAGCTAATTTAAACTTTTTTTTGTAAAGGGGATCTCACTATGCTGCCCAAGCTGCTCTTGAACTCCTGACCTCAAGTGATCCTACTAACTCAGCCTCCCAAAGCACTGGGATTAGGCATGATCTACTGCACCTGGCCTGATCTCTTTTAAAAAGG